ATGAATGGCACCTGGAATTTTTCACTGGGAAATTCCTCAGTTTAGGAGCCAGGCAGCATATCGACTTTTTTTCCACACACGAAATTGTAAGACAGTTATATTTTTAGCCGGCAAGCGTCCGCTGGACAGAACTGCGCAAAACGCATGATTGCACTAGCTACCCTAGTATGCACTGCTACTTATTCCATTTTAATCCGCTTCATGCATTAGCAGGTATCCCCCGCCTCAGGATGACATGCAAACGACACTTACAGTCTACCGTTGAGAGAGCCATCTGAGGATTGTTGCTTGACTTGCGAGTTTCAGGTGCTATAGTGTAATACGAAGATCAAAGTAACACTTTATTTCACTAAAAATGAAGCGAAAAGCAAACACTAATTGGCGTGCGACGCAGTGTCCGCTCCTGTGAATAACGTCACTTATGCGCTGCTCCCCGGTTTTCCTATGCGCTCCCACTTGTTGATGACGCCCATGAGGCGTCCGTAGGAAAACATGAGTTTTGCATCGCCGATGCCCTGGGCGCATATGTATACCTCCTCGCATGCTTTCTGGATCTGCTCCTTCAGGTTACTGAGTGCACTCAGACAACGATCGTGGCTTTCTGGTGCAGCAACATCATCAGAAGCGGCATTGATCAGCTGCATTTTCCTCTGCTCACGGAGCTGTTTCACTTGGCTGATTATTCCGGATACCTTGCCGGCCGTCCCGGCGATATCATTCCGATGCTGCGCCGCTGTTCCTTCCTTGCCCTGTGCATCGGTCAGCACTTCCCTTGTGTGGGTGAGGATGTCAGTGACCTCGTCGATAGCAACCAGACATTTGTCCTGAAAATTTCAACACTCTCAATTGTGTGATTCAAGCATATGGAAGGAGGGTCCTTGCTTACCTTATTTGTCTCCTGCTTCGATGAATGAACTTCGCTTTCCGGCAAATCCAGTCCTCTTACAGGCGACGGGGGTGGCGGCGGCGGCGGCGGCTGCGCTTCAGTGCAAATGGCTAACAAAACCGCGCTTGTGACAACCAGTGTGCAGTGCATATCCTGCAATGACCACAGATTATACAGCTTCAAGTCGCCGCACGTTTACGCAGCATCCGACAACTAAATCGTATTGGACGAAGCACAGCTTGACGCAAGGCGGACATCAACAAAGTGTGGCGTCCACCAACTCCACATACATGGAAATGCTGGATTTGTCCGGGTTATTAATTTCGCCCTACCTCCCGTTCAAAAGGTGATCAGGCTGTTAAAAAGTAAAGCGATTCTGGAATTATGATGAACTTCTGTGTGGTGCCTGCTTCGACTTACGGAATTTATAGGAATCCAGAGACCACAGATTCAATGGGCGATAAATTTGTTTGTGTGTGAACAAATGCATCGTAAAAGTTCCCTCCTTTGTAAGTTGCTTGTTTGATTTGTAACGATTTCATGTGCAATCCAGCACATCTTTGCACTCTCCCGAATTCATTCGCCTGCACCAAATACACGTAATTTTTTGTTTGGTGTGTTCGAGATAGCAGCGATGCTGTGCTTCGCGCACTGACAGCTCTCAAAGCCGCTGAAGTGTTCCAGTTTCTGTCTGGCCGACAAAAACATTGCGCCTATTTGATGGGATGGATGCAAATACAACAAATACTTCTGCAAACTACAAAACAGATGCTCGCTGAATCTATGGCCTCTAGGTTCCAATAAATACCATAATTCGAAGGAAGCGCCACACGGAAGAAACTCATCAGAATTCCAATATCGCTTTGCTTTTTAACAACCTGACTACCTTTCGTCCAGCTTGTAGAACGAAATTAAGAACCCGGACAAATGCGACACTTCCATGCATGCGAATCAGGAGGACGTCAAACTCTACTGGCGTCCTCCTTGCGTCAAACTCTGTTTGGCCCAGGGCGGTATGGTGATCAAGTGCTACGTGAATCTTGACCAAACCGTACGATGGCATGAACCTCTGTGGTTATTGCGGGACATGCATTGTACGCTGATTCTCTCAAGCGCAGTGTTGCTAGCCGTTTGCACTGGAGCGCAGCC